AGGAGTAAGAAAGACTAATTCAAACAATTTCAATTTTAGGATACTCAATTGATATGTAACATTTGCTCTTCATCCAGAACAAGGAAGATATCTTCAAAAAAAAATCTATCCACATTCTTTCATTATTTAGCTCTCTCCACTATATACTTTATATAGTAATTTACGCATATTCACTTGGAATACCATCCTTTTTTCGTTGTCCCGTTCACACTTTATTAAACATAGAGTTCTGAGTATAAGTGAGAGGTCAACTTTAAATTAGTTTTTTTTTCCCTCGGATGAAATAAAAAAATATTAAGATTTTGTACTCACGGTATAATATTTAATACAAAATATAAGTTTTCTTTTCACTTGCTGTTAAACAAAGCAAAAAGGTTTCAAATCAATGCTGGTTCAAAGTGGAAAATGGCAAGACATTAGTTCCATTTCTTCCTCAATGAATGTAAATACAGATCTGAAGTCTCGAATTGGAAACATGTGCGACCATTTTGAATCTTCTAGCAAGAAGTCAAAGTGCCTACTGAAGACCCACGAAATGATGAATGAACGCAATCAGGATGATGTGATGGACTCCACTACTTATAAAGATCATATTTGGTCATTCTACAACAATGACCCTAGCCTGCCGCTTTATCGAATAGAAAATGTTCCGTTGCACCTACGCGATAATAAATACATTATAACAGGCTACCGAGCCTACTACAACACCAAAATGTGTTTCTTGAGTATCTTTAGACTCCATAATGAAACGATCAATATATGGACTCACCTCGCCGGTGCGCTCATTTTTGTTGTATTGATTGTATATTTATTTAGGTCTTTATTGATCCCAGATTACTTCTCCATGGGTTCTCTTTGCACTCTAACATCACCTTCAGAACAGGACAAGCAAATATATTCATGCGAAAAAGGAAGTGCGTTGCCGTTCATCATTTTTGGTATCTACTCTTTCGGATGTATTATGTGCATGGTCTGCAGTACTTGCTATCATACTTTTATTGGGCACATCAATGAGAAACTATATGACTGGGTTCACATGTGCGACTACTTTGGTATTACGTTTCTTGTTGTCGGCTCCTTTGTGCCTTTTTGTTACTACGTTTTATCCCAAAGCCCATTTTGGCGCAATGTATACCTTGGAATGATTTTTAGCTTTGGCACAGTTGGATTGTTGGGTCCTTTTTTCCAATATTGGGCATCTGTAGCTTTTGCAAACAAAAAGATTTTGTTTTACGTGTGTATGGTCAGCTCTGGAATGTTTCCAATTTTTCATATAGCATTCCTTCTTCCAAAAGATGTTGGCTCTCCATATTTGATGGGCCTGTTCATGATGATGCTTTTGTATGGAATCGGGGTCTTCTTTTACGTCTTTAAACTACCAGAGGTTTTCTATCCCGGAAAATTTGATATTTACTTATCCAGTCATCAAATTTGGCATATGTTTGTTCTTGCAGCTGCCTTGACACACTTTTTTAATTGTATTCGAATGTATGCCGATGTGGGGAAGACAATATGCACCATCAACAACATACAATGGCATTAAAGGATATCCGAGTCGCAAAGTGCTTTAATTTTTGATAGCAACCATTCCTGTGAAGGCATGATCTGAAAAGGATTGGATATTTTATTAGAATTAATATATATATATATATAGGTTATAGTAAAGGTATGTATTAC